CAGACGTGTGCTCTTCCGATCTCCCCAAAACCCCAAAACCCCAAAACCCCTAAATTGTAAATCAAGAGTATTCTTTAAAATGAATATATGAAATTTAAAATATTTTGTAAGTTATCCTACTATATTAGCTCATGAATTATTCATTTTTCCATGAATTTAAGGACTAAAGCTATTAAAACAGAAAATGCATTAATAACCCCTTTACCAAAAACAAAGCCTGCTTCAAAATCTTGACTTGAATAGTATTTACTTCTAAATGTCTAAAGGTCTGTATAAATTGCAGCAGCATCTAATGCTGGATATTCTGTCAGTAGGCTGTTGATGTATTTAAAAACTTATTCAGCAGTAATTGTTGAATTGCTACTGCTATTATTTCCCTATTATTTCACTATTGAGGTTTTCTTCTTGAAAAAATTCTTTAGATCCTAATGTTTATGAAACAATAATTTAGTTGATTTCTAAGATATCCCTTCAAAGTTTTAGCATTCAATATCGTTCCAAGCTTTTATTACATTTACAAGATAGAAGAGCGCGTAATAAGACTGCTCAATATTTGTCTGATTTTTGTAGTATTCCATTGCATTTAGGTAGAGGAGATAAATGTTTTTTCCTAAAGAAGAGAAACCAGCCACACATTTATCTTCAGTCCTTGATCCTAAGTCTACAGTTAGACCTATAGCTGCTCCCATTCCCATTTCTATGTAATCTTTCCAAATTTTAGCAGAAACTAAGGTTATTTGATTGCTTTTCTTTTCTTATTGAGCAAGTCCCCCATTAAAACCAATTTTGGCTGAAATTTAAGAACCAGTTATTTGGAACTCTTTAAGCTGATCTATAACATTCTAATGAAATCTTTGCTTTGAAATTTGGTTAAAGCTTTGTTAATTAGAAGATTTATCCTGAGAATAAACCTATTGCAAGCAAATTAGAAGGATTAAAGAGAGCTTTACTCTCAAAATTGATTATAATTGATGCATTTTAAGTTTTTCGAATTATGTCTATGAAATTAATAATATGAGTTATTGTATTATATTTAAAGCAAATCCTTATGCTAGATAATGCATCATGGGGTTTTGGGGTTTTGGGGTTTTGGGGTTTTGGGG